CACTGATAGTGCATAAAATGTTGATACAAGCCTTTCTGAAGCAAGGTGAAGGAGTCTGGAGCAGCTCACAGACTGAGGAAAGCACCAGTTTAACATGTGAACACATCAACTCTCATTTTATCCTTATTTATAAATTTCTTATTTCTTATTAACAAAACTGAGAAATAAGATGTCAGTAAAGCAAAAAATGGTTGTGAATGGTGGATTTTTTTATAAGGAAAAGAAATGAAGATATTGGCTATATTTAATTTTTTGTTATCAAAAATAAAAAGTGCTAAAAAGTGACGCAGTCATCCAGACATGTGTAACTATTAAAACAGAATTTTAGACAAACTAAAACTCACATTTCACACATTTAATAAAGTTCATTGTTTTCCTCACAGCTCACAATTTGACCTGTTGCTTGTTCGTTTGTTAAATGTTGGTCCTCCTGGACGCCTTTCTCACTTGAGCCCGAAAAGTCTTACTGAGGAAAAAGTAAACAAGAGGGTCCAGGCAGACATTGAAAACTGACACCATGGTGGCTGCCTCCTTCAGGTAGAACAACACCAGACCCACAGAGCAGCTGTTCAAAAGAAAAGTGTCGGGAAGTCGAGCCAGGTGATAGGGCACAAAACAAACACAGAAGATGCTGACCAGCACCAACATGTTCCTGCGAGACTTCACCAGCTTCTCAGAGGAGGCCAGCTGCCTCTGCTGTGCCTTCAACACCCTGCGGGAGATGCTGTAGTAGAAGAAGACCAAAGATATGAAGACTACGAGAAAGATGATAGTGCAACTGATGTGAATTATTTTGAAGACCAGGCTGACTGATGCACTAAAGAGGGAACCACAGCGGCTCAGGGTAGAACTCCGAGGTTCTTGGCTGATGAAAAACAGGATGGTGTAGGTGATGGCAGGAACCAGAAGAAAAATCCAGGTGACCATGGAGATGATGTTTGCTGCTTGTACTGTCTGCAGCATGTGCATTTGTGAAGTATGAACAATTTTCACATACCTAGCGAGAAGAGACAGGAGGCAGGAGAAAGGCAGGGCACAAAGAAATACTTTCTTATTCTGGCTGTTATTAAATGATTATCTGAATGTTACAACTAAAGTTTGTATCTGATGTAAAATGTATAGAAATCATACATATACCAAAAAGACTGTGTACATCACTGTCACCACAGCGTTTGTTTTCATTCAAAGGCTCTATGGCTTTAATACCTGGTGAGCCGGTCAATTAATTATTAAGTCCAAAGGAGATTTCTACACTTTGATCTGGAGCACAGGGTTCATAACTAACACATTATTCTGGTTTTACTAGGTTCCTTACCTGTCAGCAGCAATGGACCCCATAAATATGATGCTGGCGTACATGTTGAGGAAAATGGCACAAGCTCCAAAACTACAGTAGAGCTGCCGAATGATGACAGAGCTG